TACAGCTTGGCTTATTTGTAAGTGCTTACATTCCGTGTTGGGTTCCTTTCCCAATCCTATCACTTTTAATAGTTTATTTTGCTAGTATGTGAAACCTTACTATAGTTGTAAGAGTCAGAGTCGCACAAACAGACATACTCAATAAACCGTTCTTCCCTCCTCATCCTTGCTACTCTGTTTGCCATTCTCCCTTCTTTTACTCCTTTCTAACTCTCCCCCCATAAATAACCCATCTCCTTTGTTTTTGGTTTATCCTTCCTGTCTATCTTCTGCATAACTAAGCAGAAAATGTGAACTCTTATATCCTCTTCTTTCTCTTATGGAGGGTATCATACTGTGGATACTCGTGCACTTGGCTTCTTCATTTAGTCATACATCCTGGAATTTACTCCTTATTACTTCATAGGGATCTTTCTCACTCATTTTTGTAGCTGCATATTCCTCAATTCTGCAAGTATGCCCTAGTTCATTCAACTGCCCTCTTGTATGTGGATATTAAAGTTCTTCCAAATATTTCATAGTTGCCAAGCTGGCAACCAATAGCATAGGATATGCAACCACACTTTTGATGGCTGAATAAGATAAAAGAATAACAAGTTTTATTTTATTTATTTATTTATTTATTTATTTATTTATTTATTTATTCATGAGAGACACAGAGAAAGAGGCAGAGACATAGAGGGAGAAGCAGGCTCCTCACAGGGAGCCCAATGTGGGATTCAATATCTGGACCTGGGATCATTCCCTGAGCCAAAGGCAGACCACTGAGCCACCCAGGCATCCCAAGAATAACAAGTTTAAAAGTAACATATCACTCCTTTAAAGAAAAATCCTCCAGAAATGTTCTACACCAAAAGCTGAGATAGAGGACTTGTTAAAAGTCCACAAAGGGGAAGTCTGTCCCAACACACAGAGTTCTACAGGTGGTCTTCATATGGTACACATAACACACCTCCTATGAGAAAGCCAGGGAGGGGAGACAACACACTCATTTGTTGTACAAAAAAAAAAAAAAAAAAACTGTTGGGGTACCTTGATGGCTCAGTGGTTGAGCATCTCTGCCTTTGGCTCAGGTCATGATCCCAGGGTTCTGGGATCGAGTGCTGCAGTGGGCTCCCCATGCTGAGCCTGCTTCTCTCTCTGCCTCTGTTTCTGACTCTGTGTGTGTGTGTCTCATGAATAAATAAAATCTTTAAAGAAAAAAAAAAAAACTCTTTCTCAAACTGTCTTCAATAAAGTGATTGTGATAACATTAGAATAGCCAAGTCCAGAATCAAGTGCTTGGAACCCAGAATTGTGGAGTAAAGGGAACTAAGTAGAAGCCTCCCTTTCCTTTCAACTTTTCTGCAAATCATATTGCTGTTCCTCTTAGCACAATTGCTATCGTGTCCAAAATGGAAATGTTCGATGAGTACATCCCACTTTCCCTCACTGAAGGTTTTTCTTAGAGGCTTAAAAAAGTCAATATTAGGAAATTACTTTTTTTTAGCTCATTAGAGATTAATACTTGAGAATATGTCATGAGTTCAAGAAGTTGCATGAGGAAGACTCCTCCCAATCTCATCGTATGGTCATGCACAGAAGAGCCACATTTCACACGGAGGGCGTCACCGCACAAAGAGCTAAGTGGATAACTGAAACCATATGAATGGGGCTCTAGTGTTTGATATCTTATCCTAGCTCATTAAAAAAAGAAACATTTGGCCTGTGCTACTAAATTGATTTCACAACCTCTAATGATTATTCAGATCTGCAGTCTGGAGCACACTTTCAGAACACATACTTTGGAGCCAGAGAGGTGAGAGCTGGAATCCTTGATGTACCTCACAGTCGATTCAGAAGCCCTTAGCCTGTGTAAGCCCATATCTCCCTATCTAAAATAGTGACAATATCCAAACCTAGGGATTTTTGCACTAAGTAAGAATGTAGGTAGCACAGTGTATAATAACCAGTAAACAGAAAAGGGTAGTTTTTATTAAGAATGATAAAATGGAATGAGAAGTGGAGATACTGTACTAGGTGATTCTGCGAGTCCACCCTAGGTGGATGGAAACTCATGAAGCACAGGAGCCTTTGTCATCACTGTCCTTTCTCCTTCTAGAGCCCACTCTAGTGCTCAGTCAGGTGAGAATCCAGGGAAGTCAGGACTGGACTGCTGCTGGTTCCATCCTCTCAACATGGGGTCACATCCAGCATGGACTTGAAGTCCAGAAATCCATAGGAACTCTCGCATGTGGGAAAACACCTTTGTCCTGTGGCTCATGTCCACTAAAAGTGGTAGTTGCCAAACTCAGCTGGGCATCAAAGGGAACAGAGGATTTCTTAAATATTCAGATTTTGAGACTCATTGGAGTTATCAATTCAGAATCATCTGGAGCAAGGCTTTGGAATCTATATTTGAAATACAGGCACACATGCTAACACACTAGGTGGTTGAAATTCAGCCAGTCAAGTGGACAAATCAATAGTAAAGTAGAGCATTTTGGTGTTACTTACTTCTATTTCATTGCAGAAGAGTATCAAATAAATATTTGCTTTAATAGTGGGAGATCCTCTACATATCCTTTGAATCCATCACTTAACTTTATTTATTTATAGGAAAACACACCATACCATAGGACACAAGCATAGGTGAGTTGAAAGATCACCTATGATTTGGAGAGTTTGTGTCCCTCCAAGTCAGAAATAGGAAGGGATACATAGAATCAAGTTAGACATTTAAGAGAAAACTTCAATGAGTTGTGTAAATTTCAGCCATTTACAGGAGATATTGACATTGAAAATGAGTATAACACACTGTTCTGGGACTGAGTCCCTGTGAATCAGTTTCCCTAGTTATTACAACTGGTCTGTTTTGGAACCTTATCCTCTCCCTTTTTATTTTAATATATACCAAAGGGCATTTTTTTTTATTTATGATAGTCACAGAGAGAGAAAGAGAGAGAGGCAGAGACATAGGCAGAGGGAGAAGCAGGCTCCATGCACCGGGAGCCCGATGTGGGATTCGATCCCGGGTCTCCAGGATCGCGCCCTGGGCCAAAGGCAGGCGCCAAACCACTGCGCCACCCAGGGATCCCAGGGCATATTTTTTTACTAACACACACTAATTACATTGAAATGTTTATACATTAAGGCTTTAAATAATGATAATATAAATGTAATAATTTACAAGACCTTTATATCAGCAATAATTTAAATAACACTAATTTGAAACATTTAATTAATGCTGTATCAAAGATATGTATCCTTTTTTACTTCAGTAGCAGGATCTGTTGTGTGTGGAGAAGATTTGCGGCAACAAAACTAAAATTTTTTTTTAATTTTATTTATTTATTCATGATAGTCACAGAGAGAGAGACAGAGAGGCAGAGACACAGATAGAGGGAGAAGCAGGCTCCATGCACCGGGAGCCCGATGTGGGATTCGATCCCGGGTCTCCAGGATCGCGCCCAGGGCCAAAAGCAGGCGCCAAACTGCTGCGCCACCCAGGGATCCCAACAAAACTAAAAATTAATGTGATGTCCAGGGCTGTGTTACAACCAGCTGCACCCAAGGGATAGTGTCACATCACTTTATAGCACTGGCCAAAATTGTACTTTGTCTCTCACGGCTCGCAAATTTTTAAAGACAATTCCATCTAGACCATTTTCTAGGAATAATTCCTTTAATTAGGTGTCCATTGCCAATGTGTACTCTTTGCTGATTGGGCAGCTAACTAAATAAATCATCTTTCAGAGACCTTGCAAAGGAGTCCTCAGAGGGTAATGACATAACTTGCATCATCCCTCAAAGATCTGCCTCCGAGATGGGAATCTAAACTTCTAATTCAATCCTACATGTAACTTGTTTTCTTTGTTATGGAACTCTGGGAAGCACAGGGTTATGATCTTCATGACTAAAGCCATATTTGGTGGGTGGACTAGCCATTCATCAACTATTAAGTAATAACAGGGTCTGCGTTTCTCTAATAATGAGAGTAAATATGTTATAATTTACACTTCTCGTTTCTTTCTCCTTATGATCAAGACTTATATTTCAGTCCTAACCCGTTTATTAGTTTAATCCTGAGGAATGTGCCAAAAGAACTCAACAACACTGCAAATACTTCAAAGTCCCCCTCCATTTCCCATGATTTTAGGGACATCGTCTCTGGGTCATGTGAAAATTAATCCTTTTCCATCTGTATACCCTGTGTTTTGGGATCCCCTTACCCTCTCAAATATCCTGAATTCAAGGTATCTAAACTCATGGAGCAGTTGTCCAGGGAAAAGAGAAGCAACAGCCCCGCCCCCAACCATTGGGAGCAGAAAGGAAAAGAATTATCCTAAAGAATTATTTTAAAACCCAGGTACAGCAGATAGAAATAAAACCATGACTGCATAGATTGATGTACCAAGGGTTCAAAATCTAACCCCAAATGGGTAGCAATTTGTTTGGCATTAAACTAAACCAGGTTGATGAACTCAAATGCCCTCGGCTCAATAGGCAGGACTCTCCTAGGAGCCTGTGTTACTTCCCTCACTTAAGCGCAGATTTATAATAAAAATCTTAGTGCCAGTGGCATAGTTTTTGGACATATAAGAAGCTAACCACTTGGAGAATCCTATTTGAGAGGTCAGAAAACTCCACAGTTAAAGATCGGTTTATAATTTACGAAGAAAATAGAAAGTTTTGTTGCTCTGAGTTGAAATTTGAAGAGCACGGCGGGAAATATGGCAAGTTTTTGGCATAAAGCTTGGTGCTTTCTTCATCATTTGAGACCAGCGTGAAGCCCGAGGCTTCGGGGATCATTTTCGGAGAAAAACCGGTCGATTCGATGCAGAGGATTTTGATATTTTTGGCATTTTTTGAGGTGTAACAAACACAACTCCGGATCCGAGAGGACACTCTGAGGCTGCCAGCGAGGCGGGCTGGACAGCGCACCAATCACGGCGCAGCTCCGCCCTATATAAACGGGAGGGCGCAGCGGCGCGGCCCGAGTCCCGGCCAGTGCCTCCGCTTCCGGCTCGAGTTCTCTCCCCGCGCCCGCTTTCGACATGTCTGAAACCGCGCCCGCCGCGCCCGCCGCCCCGGCCCCCGCGGAGAAGACGCCGGTGAAGAAGAAGGCCCGCAAGTCCGCCGGCGCAGCCAAGCGCAAGGCGTCCGGGCCCCCGGTGTCCGAGCTCATCACCAAGGCGGTGGCCGCGTCCAAGGAGCGCAGCGGCGTGTCCCTGGCCGCGCTCAAGAAGGCGCTGGCGGCCGCCGGCTACGACGTGGAGAAGAACAACAGCCGCATCAAGCTGGGCCTCAAGAGCCTGGTGAGCAAGGGGACCCTGGTGCAGACCAAGGGCACCGGCGCCTCGGGCTCCTTCAAGCTCAACAAGAAGGCGGCCTCCGGGGAGGCCAAGCCCAAGGCCAAGAAGGCGGGCGCGGCCAAGCCCAAGCGGGCGGCGGGGACGGCCAAGAAGCCCAAGAAGGCGGGGGGGGCCGGCACCCCCAAGAAGAGCGCTAAGAAGACCCCGAAGAAGGCCAAAAAGCCCGCCGCGGCCGCAGGAGCCAAAAAGGCCAAAAGCCCCAAGAAGGCGAAAGCGGCCAAGCCCAAGAAGGCGCCTAAGAGCCCTGCGAAGGCCAAAGCTGTGAAACCCAAGGCGGCCAAACCAAAGACCGCCAAGCCCAAGGCAGCCAAGCCAAAGAAGGCAGCCGCTAAGAAGAAATAAGTTTCTTCGGCCAACTACTTAGCTCAACACAACCCAAAGGCTCTTTTCAGAGCCACCCCCAGACCTCAGTAAAAGAGCTGTTGCACTGTGCGTGCGCAGGGGGCGTGACGGGAAGGACGCCGCGACAGCGAATGGGCGGGACTTGGGCGAAAGGACGGGTTTCTCGTGGCGACGCCAGTCACGCACACAATGCTTTAGCAACTTTAGGTTCCGGGGTTTAATGGTGCATAAAACCGAGCAGATAATGTGGTTTCCCCAATCGTCCTCTGCGACACAACATTCCCTTAAAGTGCTTAAGGCTAACAATTACACACGTCCTGCTATTCTACGTCGATTAGGCTACCTGGCAAGGAATATAACGTGAGTATAATTACACTTGCTCCAGAACTCAACATCTAGGACGTCCCCACGGCCACCAGGTGTCCCCCGTGCAAGCCTCAGACTCAACGCAGGAAACTCTACTAGCCAGCAGAGAGCAATCTATATCAAAAATCCCAAAGCTAACCTATTAGCAAAACTTCATTAGCTCTCACTGAAACAAGCGCAATTGCTTTAAAGGCTTATTTATAGTAGCTTTCGGCACCCTACTCTGAACCTTCTGATTGGAAGGAAGCAAAGAAACGAGGCAGCCAATGAAAAGCTAGATTTGCAAGTATCTTTTACAATTCGCATTTGTGACGACACAGTAAAATTAATCCAATCACAAGCGAAATGTTACTAACCACATTTGAATACCGCATCTATAAATAAACGAGGCTTAGGGACTTAACCCAAGTTTAAGTTCGAGTGTTCTAACTAAACGCTACGATGCCAGAACCAGCCAAATCCGCGCCAGCCCCAAAGAAGGGCTCCAAGAAGGCGGTGACCAAGGCGCAGAAGAAGGACGGCAAGAAGCGCAAGCGCAGCCGCAAGGAGAGCTACTCGGTGTACGTGTACAAGGTGCTGAAGCAGGTGCACCCCGACACGGGCATCTCGTCCAAGGCCATGGGCATCATGAACTCGTTCGTCAACGACATCTTCGAGCGCATCGCGGGCGAGGCGTCGCGCCTGGCGCATTACAACAAGCGCTCGACCATCACGTCCAGGGAGATCCAGACGGCCGTGCGCCTGCTGCTGCCCGGGGAGCTGGCCAAGCACGCCGTGTCCGAGGGCACCAAGGCCGTCACCAAGTACACCAGCTCCAAGTAAACGTGCCAAGTAAGCGTCTCCTTCCCTAAACCCAAAGGCTCTTTTCAGAGCCACGCATGCTTTCAACAAATGAGCTATAATGCTTTCTAAAAACTATTCTCAAATGCATCCTAATCAAGTTTACTCTAAGATCGATACATAGCTACGACTCTATGATTTTCTCTTAGGATTGCGTAGCAAGGATGCCACATTTCCCAGTCGATAACCATACCCATCATAAATTGAGTGCTCGCTATGCCCAAAACCGGTTCTGTACAACCATTATCCCTTAGTTTCACAACACTAAACCTCAATTTTAAATGAAAATGCCATTTCAAGTGTACAGCTCTCCTTCTGTGCGCAGGCTCCAAATTCATCGTGACATTCAAGGACTGGGGTAAGAACGGTTTCCCCAGAGCACAAAGCACGCTGTAAAAACTTTGTTTTGCTCAGAGCTTTTCTTTTCAGCATATAGATATGCAATAATGAAAAAAAAGACAACATGAGTTTTCATGGAAATCTTACACAGGCTTTTCTGGCTTGCTAGCTTTGCAATAGCGCCCATTTCTGCTGGTGGGGGAGGTAGGGTGGGGATCAGAGAGGAGTCTGTGCTGTATCCTAAAGGCGCAGACAGACAGGAAAAGGAACCTGTCCTGACTTTGAAGGGCTTTCAGATCCTGTCATCTACTACAGCTTCTCTCCTACAAAGTCCTATTTCATTGCCGGTCTTCTTCCAGCAGCCTTAGCTGGGAAGACCCCAGGGTCACAAGAGAAAAGCCCACTACTCAATCCCATAAAGTGTCTGACTGGATAGGCAATAGTTACCCCGGGACTGAGGCCCCCTTTCCTCCCCTGGCCCCTTGCCCCGTGTCCCTGAGAGGCAAGGACTGAGAGGAGGTAGAAAGGGAAAGAAAGCCCTTCCCGGGAGGATGTGGCTTCTGCTGCACAAGGTCAGATGGCATAAAGGGTTTCTGCTGCTGGTGGGAATGGATTATTGTGGGGAAAAGAAATCTGGGGGAAAAAGCTGGGGAGCTGGGAGGAACTGGCCAGGGGGTAAGCAGTCAACAGCTGAGAGTTCCCCCAAGAAAACGGATGAGATTATCTTTCCGGGTGTAGCTGACACACTCACCGGTTCCATCCTCAGGGTAGAAGGATGAACTAGAAATGAGCACAGGACCAGACAGCACATGGGCACCCCCACACTCCCACTCGCCCAGAAGATGGCAACAGTGTGTGCTCACCCTCCGTGCCGAGCAAGGTAGATTGTGCCACCCACAATTCCCACCACCACTCACTTGCTTCTGGCACTGACATCACAGGGATTCGGAACACCCGGGCTGAGGATTAACTCCGAGATCTCCCAAGCTGGCTTTGTACCCCTGAGCACCTGCTCAAGGCAAATACAAATCCTCTCTGAAGGAATAAGCTTCATTTTTGGTCTCAGCAAATCCTCCACACATAAGATAGCAAAGAAAATGAAAGGGCAGCTTCACAACCAAAATCAACACAGGATTCAACAAGACAATGTAACCAACAAGAAGAGAAGCCCACAGGCACAGTGGAAACAAAAGGAGTAAAAAGAAAATGAACAGATACAAACTTCAAGTTGCTAACTTGAATATCTTTTAAAAGGAAAAGGAAAACACTAAGTGAAATATGCTGAGGGATTAAGAATACAAGGAATTTTCCAAAAAGAGTCGAAAGAACCAAATATGACTTCCAGAAATGAAGGTGTGGATATACACGTTAATATATATATATGAAAATTAAAATTAAAGGCTTGCTAAATGGGCCCAAAAAAATCAATAGGCTCCAGATGAAGAATTTTCATGAATTCTGTAAGCAGACCTTATTTATCCAAAATGCGGGGAGAGAAATGTAAAAGTGAGTTTAAGAGATCTGGAATTAGTAGTGAAATTGTCTGCCATGTGTCTAATCATGGCACCACAAGGACAACCAGAGAGATTGATGCTGGTGTGAGCTTCCAATGATCATGGCTGAGAATTTTTCAGAGTTAATGGATTACTCATGTAACTCAAAATCAATAAAATAGGGTGAAACTCGTACACCAAAACGGGGGTCACTCTGTCACACTGTGAACCAAACCCCATAAATTCTCCCAACAAACGTAAAGCTAGTTTTCTAATCTGTTCTGCTAGATGGCAATAGACTGAAGCACTGTTATAAATTCTTGAGGGTGGGAGGATAATTGACAGATTATTTACATGCACTTGATATCTATCCGATTACCAAATTTTGCAAAACCTAATCAATATTTAATGATTTAATGGACTGTCCTGAGTTCATCACAAATAGTACTATCATTAGCAGACCAGAAACTTTGATATTTTTTCCAATAACTATTTCTGTAACTATTTTTATCATGGTATTGTGTTAGTTAATGTCACACGCTATATGCCATGTTAAGGCATCACCGTCATTTTCTTCCTTTTCACTAAAGTGGTTTTAGTAGTTCCTGACGTGTTAAAAACCTGTTTGCTTGCATGCATGGATATGTATATAATCTGTGTGTGTTGGTTAGTTTCCTTCTAAATATACTTTTAAAGGTTTTATTATGAATGATGTGTGAATTTTCGGTATTTGATGAAATCAAGGGCTTTTCCTCCTCTAGCCTGCTACAATAAATTACGAGTAGATTCCCTAATGCTACCCTATACTTGTATTCCAAGGCCAAATCTTCTTTGGTCATTTTCTATTAGTATCTTAAATACTGGCTGCACACATTTTAGATTTCCGGGGGATTTTTCCTCCGCTCTACACACGTAAAATCATTCTGTGATTTTCCCTTTTCGGTTAACCTGTATCAGATTTGGTCAATAAGACTATGGTAACTTTGAACGCTTAATTGTGAGCCTCTCCTCCATTATCTGCTGCTAGGTAACAAACTACCCCAAAACTCAACAGCTTAAATCAATGAACATTTATTATCTATTTTTTGGCGGGGGGCGGGGAGAGATCAGGAACCTAGAAGTGATTTCCTGGGAGGTTCTGGCCAGGATCTCTCCTGAGGCTGAAGTCAAGATGCAAACACGCACAGCAGTCACCTGAAGCTTAACTGTGGGTTCCCTTCCAAGGTGGCTCACCCTCGTGCCACCCAAGTTCCTGTGGGCTCTCAGCAGGAGGACCTCCGATTCTAGCCGCATAGACCTGTCAGGACGGCCAACTGGCTCTCTTCCACAAAGACAAATCATAGAGAGAAGGGAGGAGGAATTTGTCACAGAGTCTCTACGACCTAGTTCCAAATGTCACACGCTGTGACTTCTGCCACTTTCTATTAATTAGAAACAAGTCACTTAAAAAAATGGCGTACACCCAGAAGGGCAACTAGGCTCCACCTTTCAAGGGAAGGTAGCACATTTGTGAACATAATGCGAAACCAACACATCGTCTTTTTTGTTTAAATACTTGATTGTATAAAAGTATTTGTGCTTTAGACAGTAGACAGAAGTCAGCTGTATAATCACTTGGACCTAATACTTTTCTAAGTGGTAGCTCTTTAAGAATTCCAGGAAATTGGGGGCATCTGGATTGCTCAGTTAAGCGTCTGCCTTCAGCTCATGGAGCCCTACATTGGGCTCCCTGCTCAGTGGGGGAGTCTGCTTCTCCCTCTGCCACTTCCCACTGCTGGTGCTCTCTCTGTCTCTGGTAAATAAATAAGTAAAATCTTAAAAAAAAAAAAAAAAAAGGATTCTAGGAAATTAGACCATAATTGACCGCTATCCATAAACACAAAATCCAATGAAACTCCCACATGATGCCGGTCGACTTTTCCCTAAGATTGTAAGGGACCAAACAGTGGTCTCTGCATTACATATAGCAGCACATTGCAGGTACTTAGAGAAAATATTGAATGAATTCATCTGAAAACTCCTAAA